TTAAGACAAGTAGGTGTTGCGGGTCTTAGCGTGATCATGTCGTGCACTGCTGTATGTTCCACTAAGGGGGAATTGCATGACGTGGCTGCTTGTTTTTCTGAAGGATTGAGTTGTGTTGTTGGAAGGGAATCCGAAATGTGTGCTAATGACTGAGCACTGGATTGCCATATCTGGCGGAATATGCCGACAGACGACTGCAAGACGTGAGAACGAGGAATGGGATTTCGATGTTTCAAATTGCGTGTTCGACTTAACGTGGCCTCTTCTATTCCTGAGACCGTCTTGAAGTTCATCGCGTTATGCTCGTGCTTCGTGGAGTCGCATTGAACTCGAAAGCAACTGACGCGCACTAGACACGCACGGCTAACCAGAGAATCACACGAAAACACTTGAAAGATCGATCGCTTATTTTGATTTCGGTTGAATTACGAAATGTGGTTATTTGGCTCTGAGTCAAGTCAATGACGCCTTGTGGTGTCACAGCGAAGCGCAGCCAGTACCACTTCAGCCATGGCATTCTGCAGGGGTGGGTGGGAAAGGTTTAATACCTGATTGAGTAGCATTTCTAGTGTAATTGAGTGGCACAACTTCTGATTACTTGCCAGTATTTCAGGGGTCTCACATTGAAGCAAATTGTGCTCTGTCTACAAGAGGAGCGTCATCCAGAATGGTCAACTTTTAGCAAAGTTAGGTTAGACTATGTCGAGTTAAGTGTGGAGTTTTTGATTATTTTTTATTGGGTACAGCGTGGACGTTTCGAAAGACAAATTTAACAGTATGTAATCAAACTAAGACAGGTGTCGCATTTTCAAGAATGAGACATCTCCCTTGTGAGGGGCATTTGAGGACGTGCGCAAATGGTATTTACCTATGACGTCTAGCTGAGTGCCATGGGGTACCCGTTTGATGCAGTGAATAACTGGAGGTATTAGGAATTTGTTGCTACACCTTCAAGACAATTTGGTCCAAGCTGTGCGTTAAGTGCCGAGGACCACATTTACCACACGACTTTACTAACTTTGTCGACATCGTTATTGTGATCCTTTCCAGAACACGTATTTGTCCTCAACGAGGACCAGTCATTTTCAAACTAAGCCGAAGTAAGTGAAAACAAGTTATGACGATTTACTCGCAGTGTGTAGTGGCTGTTCTAGGCTGATTTGGAGCCATGCGGATTTTAATTGACATCTTCCACATTCGCATAGTAGCTCTGCACTAAACATCTTTCAAATAGGAGGTTAGTTAAGGGTTTTTCTCTAGATAAAGACAGAAATAAGGAAAATACTTACATTTAATCCCACAAAATCTCATTTCGATGGATGAAAATTTTTAAGTTTTGCTTAATAAAATACTGAACAACGTCATGATATTTCTGACAAGAGGGATATGTCTTGTGTGTGGTGAGTTTAACGACGTATTAAATCAAACTTTACTTAAAGCATTTTCAGCCACCTGACGTTTCTCTATTGGGTGGATCGGTTTGTTTTAAGTGAATTTTAAAAGATCTAAATATTTGCAAAGGTCTTTAAAATCCCGATCCGTTTCATTCGAATAAATGAAATATTCAGCTCTCGAAACTATGCTGTTTTATACTATTTAATTGCCTCACTTTAAACTTTAGACTTCGTTTTACGTCCTCCAGTCAGCGATTGCCAGATCAATCGTGGCACAAATAACTCTGCACAAATTTGTAACGATTTTCAGAAAAGTGTAACAAAAACGCTTAGTTGGAATATTATCCTTGTAGGTTTGGAGGACGATGTGGGGAGAGCGGCGGCAGCAATGGAAGAATTCAACTAAGCAAATTTCGCGCCAACCCGGCCAGTGCATTCAAACCAAAGCTTAGGGTGCTGTATTCGTAGGCTTCTTTCTGCGCCAGGCACGATCACTTACAGAAGTGGCCGTGCAAAAAATCCCGATGCAGCCTTACTTGCGTAAGCTCATGCCGAAACGGGAAAAAAAACGATGAATGCATAAATGTCCGCAGCAAGTGGAACCCGTCCCTCGGGGTAACCGCTAATGACATTAACAAGAGGCACTCCGCAGGCACTGCATGAGGACTCTTGAAAGGACTCTGGGTGCATGCATTTTGCATGGCAACGTTTCCCCCGGAAAAACGCTCAAATATTTATCGTGCCACATGGGGCAGGTTGGCCGTTTTGTCTTCTGTTCACGTATTCCACAAACACACACACACAATGCACAAGAGTATCCCTCGCGTTGAGGAAAAGCAAAAAAACATGACAAGACATGCTCTGAAAGGTGTCCTGTTTCGGAGGGACACGAACCTGAGCCCACCGTCTACGGTGAACTGAGTGATGCAGACTGCTAGTTACCTGGAACGGATATTAATCTTGAATTATCCTCACACCTAGGCCTCGATTTTAGCGTATGCGTGACTCACACATCCGAGGTATAAATACACACGCTTAACCCCCACACACGAGACAACGACACACCAACGTGGTTGAGATCTGAAGTAAACGGTTGTGTCCCCGTCCTCTCCGGTCTTTTTCTTCATCGCGGGTATCAGGGAAACGTAGTCAATCGGGCCAGGGTTAATTCCTTGGCCCCGGCGTGGTTCAAGACCACATACTGGGGCCCACAACAGCGTCTGCATTGAACTAAGCGATGCAGACTGCTGATTACCTGGAACTAACCTATGGTTTACGTTAGGAACCACCGATTAGGCGCATAAACAGATGCTCCTCGTCTCAATGACTTGTTAAAAGGAGTGAAGTTTTGTGTGGTGTATTGCAGTATCAACCATTGTCTGCGTCACCAGTTATCCAGCAAACCGAATTTCAGTGGATGACAACCAGCATTCTTGAACGTGGACATTTTGCTTGTACATGCAGTAATCGTGGATCCCAATTGAAACCAATCTTAAACTCCTTGAATAATCAATGTCTGCAAGGACGTCACAACTAACAAGATTTTTGAAAAGAGAAGTAGAATTTTGTACACAAATCTAACCTTTTCAGCCTGAAGACATGGCTGAGAGACATGTATAATTTACCCAATTTGACGACCTTGACTGCAACAAACACAGGGAGCATATTTAAAATGACATGAGCCAATTAGATTTGAGGGGCATATTTATAAACGATAAATTGTGTGCCAGAAAACAAAAAGGAGAATTATCAATATTACGAGATATGTAAAACTACCAACCTCAAAAAGACACCTATGACGAGGATATTCAAGATTTTGGAAAGACATCAAACGGTTACAAACTCTAATCGGACTCAATTGTCAAATAAATTTGCACGATGAGAACCGACGTGGCATTGCTATCAACAAAACCGGGTGAATGTTCATGAGGTACATTGTCAGCCAGTCTAAGACCTCAGAGTCTTCGTTTGTCGATAAACATGAGTAAAACGCGCAGTTACCGGATCAGGAATGCTGCAGAATGACAGATTTGTTGGCTAGATAAGCAGAAATACTTGACTAATATTCTCAGGGGATTGTAGGATTTCGACTTAAAAGCGCTGTGCGTTTCCGTTGGCGGACAATGAGCCAGTAGAAGAACATTTATAACACGTTTTCTGTTGATTCGAGTTCATTTTACTAAATGCGCATACATCTCTTCCACGCATGCTCCAATGCCTCGTTATGTCACAACCAACGTTGAGGTTTAGACATCCACACGCATAGTCACGTCTGAGGGAAATACTTTAGAAATGGCCTTCTACTCTTACCAGATAGTCTGAACCGGTGTGCTGGATTGGCTAGTTAAGATATGCGGTCTCCTGGCAGGAACTATTTCAATGACTCGAATCCAGCAAAAAGTAATTCCTGATGGAAACTACATTTGAGCACAAAAGAATAAAAACAACGGGGAAGGGAAACTGAGGGAGAGTTTTCGCAGATGCCTTTGTCTTGGCTGATCTTTGTTTAAGTATGTGAGGGAAACTCATGATAGCCTAATCATGATTGTTTTAAAGTGTCTTTGTATAAGTGTTAATTTAAAAACACCATCTGTATTTACAATTAACATTATTTAGATGTATTAGAGAAGCTTTTGATATTTCTAGGGAGAAATTTGCATCGTGTCGAGTAGCTATGAACCTTTACATAATATGGATATGATTCGAACAAGTCAGAGTTTTTCACAAAATTAACCAACTTATTTTACAAACTCAAATTGCCCGCCCAAATTTTATTGGTTCATTTCATCTTGGACTATTCTGTGACGAAAATTTTTATAATCAAACTTCAACGATCGGTAAAAACCATGCTACAGCACCGCTGACCTTCAAAAGGTCAGTTTGGATATCTGATTTGGCCTTGGTTGAATCAATTCTGCCCAAGCTAATCGTGTTGCTTAACTAGGATCACTGAGGAGTTTTGATGGTAGAGTATATCAGTTAAATGCATCTCGCGGTGCCTTCAAAAATGCGCATCCAACACGTGAAATCGCGGCAATGTGACAGGGCGGAAGCCAGCGTTGAAGCGATACCATCCTCATCCAAGTCAGAAAGACGGAGAACGAGAGATAAGCAGGGCAAAAAAGGCCAGGCATGAGGGCCTGTTTTTAAATTCCCCAAATATATAATCAGACAGTCACTTGCACATTAATGGATTTGATAAAAGACGGGCACATTAACACGAGTCATTTTCTACCCTACACTTTTTAATTGAAGCCCTATTAAATCTTGATAAGACGCGGCGCCAACCAAATTCACGCACTAGGCTATATTAACGCCACACAACGCCCGGAGGTGACAACAGTGCTGCTGTACACGGTACACATGCACTCAGGCAATCGCAAGCGACACATTCTGCTATGCCCCACCTTATTCTCAAGGTCATTCCTTGTGCCCAATCGATTCCTGGAGTCAGTTCTCCAGTTTTGACTCTCGTAGTTGGTGCTGTTTGCGTAGTTTATGCAAAGTCAGTGGTGGGGCCCTGTGTGTGTTGTAAAATGCCTTTCCTCAGGCTTCATGTCACAGTGGAACTCATTCCAAGGATCCATTCCAACATGCGGTTTTTCGATGTCAAACGTTGTAGCTCCAACAAAAAGAGGTGTAAAGCAGTTGGGGAAGAAGCAGAATGAGTAAGAGCCGCTCGTTTTTTTCTTTAAAAATTTAATTGGCTATGCTGTAGAACGGATAATTAAATTTGCTTCCTCGTCATCTTGCCTGTTCCAGACATGAGTGTTTTTACCTTCCGCCATATAATCCACTTTTGTGGCCACCAACTTACACTACTTTTAATTGACAAGCCCAAAAAATGATCTCGCCAATTGGCGGTTTACGAAACTAATGCAGAAAGCGACTAATTACAAGTTGCTTATTTGTGGACACAATCTCCGTTGGAGTTGATATAAATTTGGCTTATGTGACATCCGGAAGTATCTTTTTACCCAAATACGCAAGTTTTAAGCACGATGCCTTTTCGAAGTTTCCAACGAATGCAAAATCTTCACTTTAAACTTCAAACCCTGACGCACCAGCCGATGTGGAAGCTTAGTCGACGGATCCAATAGGCGTGTTTTCTCGCTGTTCACTGACCTACTAGGGTAAAATTATTGACTTGACCTTCCTGATAACGTGGCCGTGGAGGCAAATTCTGTCAAACAATGAATGCGGGAAATTCGACAGCAGATTAGCCGAAGAAAACGTGAATTATTGATGCTCACCTACCGCGTATGTACAACAGCGGAATCGCATGACTCTTTAATGGCCCAATCCACCCAATTAGTTAACTGCTGTCGCAAGCTGATGGTCCACATCGATTTTCGATTTTCTTAAGCACGATCAGGCCTGCAATTGGAAACTTAAGTTCATTTTAGGCACCCACAAGGTCACATATTTCTTCTTCTAGTTTACAGACCGTTCAAACATCGCCTAATAATTCAGCCGGTGTCCTTGCAAGGTCATGTCGCACTCACAATAAAGCTAGCTATGGTCAAAGGTATAGCAGAACAGTTGTCTAGGGTAACTTCGGCCATAATAGAAACCAACCAATTTTAATGATTCATATACTACTGAAAACGGAAAAAACTAAGCACCACTTAGTGTTTCGAAGTTCAGACCAGTTGTATCAGATGCCTGGAACTACTTCAGGGTTTCGGAAACGAAATCTGCGGTATCGATTGCATTTTGTGCAAAACGGACCGACGTAGGACTTGTACTTTGCACTTGGGTAACTTATCGATTACGTGCAAGCAATCTCTGATTTAAACATGATCTCTCATTGGCTCGATTCCAAAACCAACTATTTTTTGAAAAGCCGCTTGTCTAAATTTAGTAACAATCTCCTCAAATGTTGGAAACTCAACAAAGCGTCACAATAATTCCTTGGTGGTAATCATCATCAGTAACCTTAGGTTTCAATAAATTACCTGTTTGTCGAGTAGGCTGATTGTGGCTCCTTTGTAAATGTATTCTCTTTTAGACTTAGAAAATAGCTTTGTTTGTCTAGCCTTCACGCTAGGTGGGTTTTATTAAAAGGGCGGCCATTATTTTTCATTCAACTTTTCTTCCACGTAGGGCAACTTTTCTGCCGGAAAGTGACTCTCCTTCTCCACCTTCACCACCTACAGAAGAAGAAGAAGGAGGTGGTGATGGCGGTGGCGGCGGCGGCGGTAGTGAGGGGATAAGTCCCCATCCGATTGCGCTTCTCAGTGCCTTTTTCTCTCATGGTTCAAGGTCGCAGCATGCGTTGTCGCTTCTCCCCATTCGCGCCCCTAGCCTCCTCCTCCTCCACCCCTCGCATCCTCCACCCGCCTCCCACAACCTCCGAAAGCTCATCCGCTTGCGAAAAGATAGATTTGAGGGCTGGGGAAATTAGCCGCCACTCTACCGCTGCCGTCGCCACTGCCGCCACCACCACCACCACCTTAACCGTCGCTGTTGTCGGTGAAATGACTCAAATATACAAAAACTACCTGCATCATTATCCGGGCACGCCAAAACCGTCTTCTCGCTTCACTTGGCATTACCTTAGCAACATTTTGGGTGTGTGTGGATTCAGGAAGTGACCAATTTGAGGTCCTTCTGGAAGAGCAGATTAAACGCTCTCTGCACGCACCAATAACAAGTGCTTTGAGGCCGGAAGTGGCACGGTGATTGTGGCTCCACTACTCGGGTCATTAACTTGGTGAATAGCGTTTCAAACGTTTCGCGACATCAGGCGGCAGTGGCATTCTAGACTGAGCAAGAAGCAGAGTTCTGTGAAGGTGAGAACGAGATTTAAATAGGTATTTAAACAGACCCACTTTCCGGAAGTTTCGTGCAGCTTTATCACAAAGGCAATCCGTCATTTTACGTGTTATTCAATGAAGCACTTTTGTAGACGATCTTACTGAGTTAAGTCCAATTAGCTGCCACCGGACACGTAGAAATTCGAGGGAACCACCTGCGAATAAAGGCAGAAGGTATCCACGCCGGTCTCGTCGTGTCACCGAATTGACCTTGAGTTTGTTGTTATTTACGTGCCCACGACAGACAGGGGGACAGTGTGGATGGAAAAATGGGAGCGCGACCAACGTGAAGAGTCTGGGCGTCGCCGCGTGACGCCGCTCACCGACGCATCATGTCAGTCTAGACAACGGATGGCTCGTGATGTATCGGTGGTTCCCCCGTTTGACGTGGAAACGAAGGTGTCAATATCTTGGCAACCACAACAGTCAGTCACTAGGGGGCCCTGGATGATGGTTCCCTCGTCGCCTACCCTGGAATCAGGCCTCCCACTTCTGAGTCGTTGAATTTGTGTGTGTGGATGAATGTGTGAGATCTAAGTTGGCTTAAAGTAGTGCATTTAATTAGCGTGGCTACAATTAATGAGGCGAGGTTTCCGCTAGGCAAAGTAAATGAGGCAAATACGAAACAAATTACAAATTCAGGATTGTCGTTTCTTGACTATTTTAATCAGCCGCAACCGGGGATTACAATTCCACAGTTCAGTGAATGTGGGTCGATAACTTCACTAACCAGATAGAGCACCTGCTGCTCAAAGTCCACCAGCGTTAGCTTCCTAATCTCATACCATTTTAACTGTTTTCGGTTGCGTAAATGCGGATTGGTCTAGTTCTGGTTGATGCTAGAATCATTTCATGCAGTGGTTAGAGAAGCCAAAATAAAACGACAGTTTACAAATCCAGTTTTC